GTTTCAGGAACAAAGATTCTCTCTCTTTTTGTCCTGATCCATTTATATAAAAACCTGTCTGAAAATGAGCTGATCAGATTTTGGCCACTTTATGATGTCATAACGATGTTTTGTCTTGTGTAACCATTAGCCAATCAGCAACCAAGGTAACCCCCCCCCCCACCTTATCACCTGAATCTCCTCCTAGAGCACCATTGAGTTCTTTGTAACCAAATCTCTCTCAGAGGGGCGTGGGGAGGGGCTCCTTATTTTCATCTAAAGTAACAGACAGAGAATCAGCACTTTGGAAACAGGGCTGAAACAGAGGGGATTATGGGATGCTGCAATCTGTTTGGTGTTTCAGCCAATCAGAGACAGGCTCTGGATATATCTGAGACCTGTGATATATTGATGAGAAACAGTATAATAGGGGACCTTTAAAGTCAATTGAATTTCAGATTACAGCATAAGTAAACCAACACAAGACACACATTAAAGCGTATACATTCTGATAGCCTTCCTCCAGCTCTTTTAATATATGTTTTTAAACATTGATTTTTGGGGTCGTCCCTTTCCTGTAGTGTGTTATTGTGCATGTAAATGGTCTGCAAAGGCTAAAATCCCAAAGTTTCCGCAGAATATGTCCTCTAAAGAGACCAGCTGTTCTAAAGTCTAATCAATATGCAACACCTATCTTAAAGAATTGTGGTACATAAAATCCCTTTTTCCCGTTTCCAAAGGACATTGGGGACAAGAGGAAGTGATGCAAATAAATCACAGAGCAGAGACGGAAACATCCAAATGGATAAAGTCACATGAATATAAAGGAATGTAGTTAAGGATTTCCTAATAAAAAAAGGACAGGCCAGTAATGGATTAGCTCTCTGAGGCTGTTATTGCATTATTAAACATTTTTCTCCGCACACAGACTTCTGCAGGAATCATTAGATTATTCCAGACCTACTGATGTAATGCTCGCTCATCTTGGACTGTCTGCAAATATTCTACCTAGATGGTCACGAGAGTAGGGCGACGGTCCTGCTCAGATGATTGTTTACATTTTTCCAAACGTCTGGAGAATTATCTCTCAGAGGAATTTTTAAGGCCTCCTTAACGTCAGAGGAGCAGACAGTGTTTGTAACTTGTGACCTGTTTGGGATGCAGGGGTGGGAAGGAGTGGAGTACAAATACTTTGTTACTGTACTTAAGTACATCGTTCTGGTATCAGTACTTTACTCCACTAGTTATTTTTCTGACGACTTTTTACTTTGACTTCTTACATTTTGAACACAAATACCTGTACTTTCTACTTCTTACATGTTGAACCCAAATACCTGTACTTTCTACTTCTTACATTTTGAACCCAAATACCTGTACTTTCTACTTCTTACATTTTGAACCCAAATACCTGTACTTTCTACTTCTTACATTTTGAACACAAATACCTGTACTTTCTACTTCTTACATTTTGAACCCAAATACCTGAACTTTCTACTTCTTACATTTTGAACCCAAATACCTGAACTTTCTACTTCTTACATGTTGAACCCAAATACCTGTACTTTCTACTTCTTACATGTTGAACACAAATACCTGTACTTTCTACTTCTTACATGTTGAACCCAAATACCTGTACTTTCTACTTCTTACATGTTGAACACAAATACCTGTACTTTCTACTTCTTACATTTTTAAACATGAGTATCTGTACTTCTACTTGAGTAAAGGATGTGTGTACTTTTGCCATCTCTGTAGGGATGTGTGCAGACTTTAATAGCAAAGTTTAATGTGAACAAAGCAGGGATTCACTTGGAGGAGAAATACATTTGTTTTGCTCTGCAGTGTTTGAGCTTTACTTCATTGTTTATCTGCTACTTTCTACTTCTCCTTAACTTTGTCCCATCGGGATCAAATGCTGCTTTTACAAGGGAGAGCTGGCCAAGAGTAGCAGGAACACAGAGCTTCTAGTTAACATAATATCATGAGTGACATTAAAATGATCAGATAACACATCATAACACAGACAGCCTAGACTCAATAGATTCCAAAATGGTTTTAAACTCAATCAGGGTCACCATGGTTTGATGTTTAAAGATCAGTTTAAAGGTCCCATGTCATGGCCATTTCTACTGATCATATTTCCATTGTTGAGGTCTACTAGAATAGATTTATATCGTGCAATTTTCCAAACTCACATTGGTTTCTCATACAGCATCTCTGTATAGTATGTGTATTCACTCTCTGTCCTAAACGGCTTGTTGGAGCTCCTGCCCCCCCCCTCCCTGTGAGCCCAGTGCCCGTCTGCGAGACAGCGAGACACAGCGAAACCCAGCCCGAACACACACCCGCAGCCTGGCTGGGAGTTTGTGTGTGTGCTCACACACAAACTCTCAGCCTCGCCGCGTCCCGCCGTCTCAGGGAGGAGAAACCGGCGGAGCTGCAGCTGAGAAAAGATTGAGTGTGTGTGAGGAAGTCCGCGGATTGGTCCAAATGTAACGGCTCCGCGGACGTAACATAACGGCTCCACGGATTGGTCCATTTGGACCAATGGGTCCATTTGGGTATGGTCACGTCACTGTACCCAGGAAGAAAAAGAGAAATGTCCAACGAGGCGTTCTGGGGCAGCATAGACAGGTCTTCTCTGTGTTAGAGTTTTACTCGCTACAGGGTGTACTTTGAGGGTTTGTGACTCTGCAGACCGTTTACATGCAGAAAAACCTTCATAACACACAAGGGGACGGGTAAGAACCAGAAAAGCATGACATGGGACCTTTAAGTGAAATACGTAGCAATGTCAAATTAGATTATATGAAGTGTGGTGAAGACCTGATAAAGCGCTATATAAGAACAGAAACGCAAGATTTTTAATTAAGCGTTTGTACGGCTACTGCTACTAAAGGATCTAAATACTTCCTCCAGTATTCGGCAGTTATGCATCAAGAAGTTTTTTATATTTTCAGTCAATTACTCTTAAATTTGGTAAACATAGATCTCTCTAATCTGCTTTTTAGAAATACATCTTAAACCAATCATTTCTGTCTGAAGCTGGCATTTCATTTGAAATCCTTTATCTGCAGATGCCGTGCTGATATTATCGTGCATCCATACAGTCATGAGTTGCACTATAACGTCATTAGATTTTCAGTTTAGAGTTACTCTGGACATTAGGGATCATGTTTTATGATTTGTTGATGTTCTTTGTCTCAGGATAGTATGTTTTCTGCAGGACAGAGGCACCAATATCTTGACTTCTGTGATATTTAAGGCCATGCACTACAACACTGCTGCTCACTGCTACTCCAAGCATGAAACGACATTATTCGGATTTGCATGGCCTGTTAGCGCGGCCACTAGAGGTTACTGGGTTCTTTTCACATGTTTTACTAAAGGTCTGTTACGTTCTGGAGCTACCAGTACAAAAAGTGTATGTTATAATAATACAAGAACTCTTAACACATATCATTTTAGCACATGCATCTGTTTAGAGTAGACATATTAGTCTATATTATCTTAATAACATGTACTTTATTCAACTGTAATGTATGTAATTTTACATTCTGTCATCTCGTTCGATTTTGCACGTATGTAGTTAACTTTTTTATGCATTTTATAACTTTATTGTACTTTTTAACCTATATTTGGAGGAGGATGATGAGATTTTCATTGCCAACATCTGCCTGGCAACTGTTCTACCTGCAGACATGATAGCAGAAAAACACACAGGTGTAACTGATATCACTAATTAGCTCTACAATGCATTTCGCTGGTCAAGTGTCAGGCCCAGGTGTGTGCACGCTAGCTCGTTAATATGTATAAGTTACACCTGCAATTTCCTGCTATAGCAAAGCAAAAAGACTTCTCCTTCTCCCACCTCCTGTCCTGCCTGATAGCTCAGTACCACTGATGAGATGGATGGATGGAGAGTGAGGTTAAGTGGAGGACGTTTGGGACTATATTTTCTGCGTCATCGTCAACAATGGACCTCTGCCAATGATAAAGTGTTCCCATAATAACACTCAAGCCAACAGCATGCAGACTGCAGAGAGAGAGATGCTCAACTAACATTGAGAGTTAGGAAATAACACTGGTGCAATGTATATATTAACATTAAGGAGCTATGGAGTTTATTAGAAGCCTGTATTCAACAAAATGTATAATCGTATTTACTCTAATTGGTTGCAATGTGCAGTCTCTGATCCTATCTAAAATAAAAACGGATTACATGGGAAGTTGTTTTTGCAAGTTCTTGTTTTTAGCATCCAGAAGCATCTGTTTCCTTCTTATATATTAATAATATATACAGTCTGACAGATTATTTGAGAAAGTTGTCATTCCTGCACGCAGACTGCCACCTGGTGCTGACAGGCTGTACTGCATTATGGTTTCTTCAAATAATATCAACTGTTCCTGTCGTATATATTTTGTAGTTTTCCGATCATTAGTCCAAGAGTTTATCGTACTATATTTCTAAAAGGAAATTAAAATAAAGAAAATTTTGTCTGTCTTATTACTTTAATTAATTATACAGCTTTCGTTTTTAAAATGTAATCATTGTTACTAACTTTGTTTTGTTATACCACGTGTTTGCTTTTATTTTTACCCTATCGACTTTTTTAAAGCGATTTTGTGATGTTTAAAGTCCTAAAACACTTCAAAATGGAAATGTTGATTTTAAGCATGTGCTGTATCATCACGTTGTGACTTTCAACCGCATATACATGCTTTGTGTCTCTTGGTTTGTGGAATAACAACTGAGAAATCAATAAAAGATCAACTCCAGCTGTCAAGTAAACGTATGGAGTAAAAACTACAACAATGTCTTCCAAAAATGTAGTGGAGTAGAAATGGAGTAAAGTAAAAATACTCAGGTAAAGTACCTCGACACGTTAAGTAGGACTTGTGTTGTGAATTATACTTAACTGCTGCACCTAGGCAGCAGTTAAGATGCGTTCATTGTCCGGTTCAGACGGTTCAGCCCAGCAACGTGACGTCACTCCAGCCACTGCCACCCGGCGGCCGCCATGTTGGCTCCGGAAGTGGGCAGATCCGAAGCAGGAATCCGGAGCTGAGCTTCACGTCAAACGGCTGAGAGTTTTATCCGACCTGTGGGCCGTTTCCCCCGGTTCTCACCTCTAACACTCACCCTACATGCTGCGGGGCTCTCCGGTCGCTTCAGGTAGGCGCTTCTCTTCGGGATCTGCTCGAGTTTCACAGCCATGGCCTCTCTGAAGCAGAGGACCTCGGGCCTCGTCCAGCGGAAGAACGACAGGGAGTCCGGCGAGGAAGAGGACGAGGCTCGCCGCTGCGGGGAGGAGGACGACCAGGAGCAGGACGACAAGGGGGACTCTAAGGAGACCCGCCTGACCCTGATGGAGGAGGTGCTGCTGCTGGGCCTCAAGGATCAGGAGGTGAGGGTTTTAATCGCGTCAACAAGGCTAAGCTAAACTAAGCTAACTCACTGTTTACGTTGCAAACCGACCGTTGGAAGAGCGCCGACCGTTGAAGACGATTTTTGAGAATCACCGTAGTGGTCAAACGGTGGTACTGCAGCCTCCAAAAGTCAGAGGTGGAAGAAGTACTCAGATGGTGTACTTCAGTAAAAGTAGAAGTACTCAGATCTTGTACTTGAGTAAATGTAGAAGTACTCAGATATTGTACTTGAGTAAAAGTAGAAGTACTCAGATCTTGTACTTGAGTAAAAGTAGAAGTACCAGAGTGTAGGAATACTCTGTTACAGTAAAAGTCCTGCATTCAAAATTAAAGTAAATGTAGAAAAGTATTATCATCAAAATATAGTTAAAGTAGCGACAGTAAAAGTAGTCATTGTGCAGATTGGTCCATTTCAGAATAATATATATGATATGTTTTATAATGATTGATCATTAAAGTGTTCTCAAAGCTGGTAAAGGTGCAGCTAGTTTGAATGACTTTGTATACTGCAGGGTAGCTTGTGGATTTACTCCAGGTGGAACTAAAGTCTGATTTAACACTTGATTATATTTCACATCATTCATCCAGATCTGTGAAGTAACTAAAGGTATTAAATACATGTAGTGGAGGAAAAGTACACCATGTACCTCTGAACTGTAGTGGAGTAGAAGTACACAGTAGCAAAAAGTCTCTCAAAATAGTACTGAAGGACAGTACTTAAGAACATCTACTTAGTTACTTTACACCACTGGTAAAAGTAGAAATACTTTGGTCTGAAAATACTTTAACTAAATGTATTTCAAGTAGCAAGAGTAAAAGTACCCATTAATATGCACCATGGCTGTTATATAAAATGTCATGTGTTTTAATATGTAAACACTAGCTGGTAACTATTAGTGTTAATAAATGTAGTGGAGTAAAAAGTACAATAAATGTTCCGATATGTAAGGGGGAAGAAGTATAAAGTACCTCTAAATGGAAATACTCAAGTAAAGTGCAAGTATGACAAAATAGTACTCCAAGTACTAGAGAAAATGTACTTCCCAAAAATACCTTTTTCCCCTTGACTTACATTGGGGAAAGAGACGTCTGTAAATCAGCGTATAATGTTTTTTTAGCAAATAAAACCACCCAGCACAAACACTTTTATATTATATATTTATATTTCATATTATTTAAATCATTAGGGTTTTAAAAGTTGTAAAAAGTTGCTAAACACTGAATCCAGAGTTATTTTATCTCCCCATTCATTGGACTGAGCCGAGAGGGAGATCGGAGGCGGGGCTTAAGGGAAAACTCAACTGCGCATGCTCAGTAAGCATGATCCGGGTACTTTCTGGATCTACAGTCGCTTCATTTTGGGCTTCAAACGCCACTGAGCAGCTCTCACAGGAATGAACAGTGTCCACTTCTCTTAGGTTTATTTACACACAGACGTCAGAAAGGTCGTTATTTAAGGGTTATTTAAAGGTTGCTTAATATTCGTTTAAGTATCTTTTCCACAATGCATGTTTTAAATGTTTTGTAGTTGCTCGTAAACACACGGGCTCAGTGAAAGCGATTATCCCCCGTTAAGTTCATTACCCTCGCTAACTTTCTTCCAAGCTGTAGTGGTGTACTTTGAGGTTACCTGGGCTACCCTTTTTTTAATCCTGACATGTCGCCAGAAGCCTCTACGTGACACCTTTCCAACCTGGAAGTAGTCTTGAGTGCAAAAAAAAAAAAAAAAGTGTGCAACCAACACGTCAGCTAAGTTAACAAGCTGCACCTTCAGACTGAGAGCTGGGAATTACGAGGCTTTGAATGCATCCGGATGTAGATCCGCACCTTAGGGAATCCGTATCTTTTTTTTTAACATGCAAAGCAGCCACAGTGTAGTTTTTGTATTTAAAATGTTAAGTGTTATGCTCTTTACTTAATATAAATAACCCAGTTGCAGGAAAAACAACTCATAAATATGTATGTGGATATTTAGACTAAAGGAGGTAGCTTTATCTGCAACATTAGTTGTACTTTACTTGATTTTCTTGTACTATTATTGCAGTAGCATGTCAACAGTAGCACATTTTATTATAAATATGAAATACAATGTTAGATATCACTATAATACACCGACCTACTACTAATAAAAGATAATTCTCAGTAATATGTATCTAATATCTAATATATATCATTCCAATAACTTGTATATAGACTCGTACTGCACTATTCCACATGCTCACTTTATTTTATAACTATTTTTCTTTTTGTATTGCTCTTGCTATCTGTATTGTTATTATGTTGCATTGTTGGAGAAGCCTGTGACATAAGATTTTCAACAACATAATTACTCTGTAGCTATGTCAGTTTGACAATAAAGAACCTTGAACCTTGAATTGCAATTTCATGGTGGTTGATTTGCATTTGTTTTTATGACAGACAAAGACAAAAGCAGTCAAATAAACCACAAAAGCAGTCAAATAAACCACCCACTCGTAGAGCATTAACTTTAAACAAAGTATAAACCACATATCAAACCATAAAATAAGATAAACGTTCACACTTAATAACAGCATAGATATAATGACGCTAACACCTGTAGGACAATTGGCAGCTCAACTCAGACGACTGCCTAGAAACAGGTTCCTGTGAGTGAATTAGAGACACCTGCTCTGTTGCATATTTCCCTTTTCCTCCCCCTCCCTGTCGTTGAACCGGTTGAGTGTCCTGCAGCGTTATGATTTTTAAGAGTCATACAGCTGGAGGACATGTGTTTCTGAGGAACCTGGATGTTCTGGTTCTGCTGCTTTTCATTATGATATTTAAGAGTCATACAGCTGGAGGACATGTGCTTCTGAGGAACCTGGATGTTCTGGTTGGTCCTGCTGCTTTTAGAAGTCTTTGTGAGGAGAAAGGAGGCTGTAACGCGTCCGCCTTTTCTCCGCTGACGTGTCTCCTAACCTTTGTTGCTACGTAGATCATGATGCTCTGTGGATCTGCACAGAATCATCTCCGGTTAGATCACATTTCTGCAATTCTCTTTCAAAACAAGACAAGAAGTCTCCTGTTGTTATCCTTCCTTGTTCTTTTTGGGAATTCTGTTATGTAATTAAAGTTGCACCGCCTCGAATGCAACTCATGCAACATTTAATATCACGTACTTTTGTGCAAATCAGATTTTAGTGCACGAGATGATGATGATGATGATGATGATGATGATGGTAAAATGAAAAGATAGAAAATAAAAATGTAATCCCGATCTTTAAAGTAACTAAAGGTATTAAATACATGTAGTGGAGTAAAATTACAAAGTAGCATAACATGGAAATAGTCAAGTACCTCAAAATTGTACTTAAGGACAGTACTTGAGTAAAAGTAGAAGTACTCGGGTCTTGTACTTGAGTTAAAGTAGAAGTACTCAGACCTTATACTTTAGTAAAAGTAGAAGTACTCAGGTCTTGTACTTGAGTTAAAGTAGAAGTACCAGATATTATACTTGAGTAAAAGTAGAAGTACCAGAGTGTAGGAATACTCTGTTACAGTAAAAGTCCTGCATTCAAAATGTTCCTCAAGTAAAAGTAGACACCCCCCTTCCCCCCTCACTCCCATTGCTCCCTGGGCGCTGTACAATAGCTGCCCACTGCTCCTAGTACTAGACTCCTGGTACTAGACTCCTGGTACTAGACTCCTGGTGCTAGACTCCTGGTGCTAGACTCCTGGTACTAGACTCCTAGTACTAGACTCCTGGTACTAGACTCCTGGTACTAGACTCCTGGTACTAGACTCCTGGTACTAGACTCCTGGTACTAGACTCCTGGTACTAGGATGGGTTAAAAGCAGAGAACACATTTCACTGTGTGCTCTGCATGTGAGACCATTACAGAGGGTTTCATCCCTCCATATTCTATTCTATATTAAAGTGTATATTGCACACACAGTGATTGTCTCTTGTGATTGTAACGGTGTGAGGTCAACCAGTAACACCAGAAATAAAAAGTAAAATACTACATGTATGAACACACACTTCAATTCAGCTATTAGACAAATTAAAAGACACGCAAGATAATAAAATGTTTAAAACTATTCTAAAAATATATAATAACATCAATTCTAATAACACTTTGTGTGCAAAAAAACATCATATAATACAGTCAAAATATTCAGATTGTTCTCAAACCCATCCTCATCTCTTCTCTGATGTCCCCCCCCCCCCCCCCCCCTCAGGGCTACACGTCCTTCTGGAACGACTGCATCTCCTCTGGGCTGCGGGGCTGCATGCTGGTGGAGCTCGCTCTCAGAGGGAGGCTCACTCTGGAGGCCTGTGGGGTGAGGAGGAGGAGCCTGCTGTCCAGGAAGGTGAGGAAGAGGAGGAGGAGGATAGTTTTCCCAAATTGGGGAATCTTTTTGTGAAGACATGTACGCAGTTTTTATTCCTGCATTTTACTTCCACTATTTGATGTATTTTTCATTTTATGTTAGGTTTATTGCATGTTGCCTTGTTATAAGAGCCTGGGAATTAAGGTTTGTATTGCCTACAACCAAGCTGTTATATATATATATAACCAACAGCTTGGTATATACCGGGATTCCCGCTAGGATTTTTTTCTTGCCGGTCAAGTGTCCGGAAAGAATTTATTTTACCGGACAAATTCGAAACTTACCGGTCATGTTTCAATAACAGTCTATGTTACAAACCAAACTATAATGTACACCTAGGTTGACGAAAAAATGACAACGACCTCATATCAGTTTGACTTTTTAATGAACAACAGAAACGATTGAGCAAAACCTCATCAGCCGCTAAAATGTAGGCTATTACAAAACACCTGTAACATCTGTAGCCCGTTTTAACAAAAGGCTACATGGCATCAAATTGACCCTGTAGGGCTTCCAGGTCACTTTTTACTTTCTCCTTATTTTCATTGCGGCAAAGTCCTCTGCTGCCGAGCTGAAATTAAACGTGTCCAAGGTGTCTTTGCAGCTTGCAATACCCATAGGCCGCGTCACTCTCTCCTCCTCCAGACGACTCCACAGTGATGTCTTCACACGATTCTGCAGGAGGAAGCCCCTCTCTGCTGGCACGCAGAACACAGGCAGAACACAGGCAGTGTAGCCCAGTCAGGGTACGGCTCGCTGAACTCATAAATGAGCACTTTGCAAGCTGTCGCAAAAGTTAAACCCCCATAGCCGTGCAGCGCTGTTCATCACTGCCACTGCATCTCGTCGGGCGAGCTTGACATCAATGAGGAAAATGTCTAGGGATAGCCGACGTTATCTACGTTTTGTATGAGCATTATTACCGGACATTTTGACCGGCAGGTTCTGAATTTACCGTTTTTTAATACATTTTACCAGCTAGAAAAACGGTAATTACCGGCTAACGGGAACCCTGATAGAAATACTCTCAGAAGTACAGAAGTATTCATTTGAAAATGCAGTTAAAATAATAAAATGTACAGCAGTATTATCTGGGTCAAAAGTGGACTGAAGCATAACAGCAGTCATTCCTAAAAGTAAATATGGCTTTTGATTGACCAAATCTTAGGTACGTTAAAGGCTCTTGAACATATCGAGACTGAACCCTCTTGTTTCTGATTTTAATGCTTGTCCTGTCAGTACTTGTTGGCTCTTGTTATGTCATTATATATATATATGAGACATTTGATACTCTTCAGCTCCTGTAGGCAGCAGGATTAGTTTCCTCTGTAGGGATTAATCTTCTTACGGGGAAACTAATCTCTGCGTTGTATCAGAGTGTGTGTGGTTCCTCTTCACACAGGATGTGAGACGTTTGTTCCCCGTCATGCTGAATGAAACACTTCTCGTTCTGTTTGTGAAGGTCATCTGTAAGTCTGACGCGCCGACAGGAGACGTTCTGCTGGACGAGGCTCTGAAGCACATCAAGGACACGCAGCCTCCAGAGACCGTGCAGAGCTGGATAGAGCTGCTCAGCGGTGGGGAAACACGACTTTACCTTAGATAATAATCACATTAACATTCAAGACCCTCCTCAAAACCCACCTGTTCAGATCAGCCTCCTCACTGTAGTGCTACACGGTCCTTTTGTGCTGTCTGAAACCGTTCCATAGAATATTTATGAATTGTAAGGTGTCCTTGGGTGCTTTGAAAGGCGCCTCTAAATATAATTTATTATTATTATTGTATTAACATTGGATAGACATGTGGGCTCTCACTTTGAGAGCTGTAACATTTTAGAAACCTTTTTTTTTTAATTTAATGTTTATTTGGTAGAGACAGAGATTAATAAAATAGACTTTAAATGCATTTATCCTATGCAATGTATCAGGATCAAAGTACTTTATATATAATCAAAATAAAATAACAATATATATTTTTAAATAAGTTAAACGTGCAAAAAAAACATTTTAAAAAACGCAATTAAAATGTGTTGTAAGAAGTTCAAGTAAAAATGTGCACTCAAATATATAATAAAATGGAATAAAAATATTTATGTAAACATAGGAAGTTTAAGTACAATAAAAATGAAATAAATAGAATACATGAATTAGAATATATATATATATATATATATAGGTTCAAGGTTCTTTATTGTCAATCTGACATAGCTACAGAGTAATTATGCAGTTGAAAATCTTATGTCACAGGCTTCTCCAACAATGCAACATAATAACATAACATAATAACAATAAGAGCAAGAGCAATACAAAAATAATAATAGTTATAAAAATGAAATAAAGTTATGATGTGGAATAGTGCAGTATGAGTCTATATACAAGTTATTGGAATGATATATATATATTAGGTATTAGATACATAATACTGAGTAGCAGATGAATGTTTGATGTTGTTTCAACAGTTCAATTTTTTAACAGTCTCACTGCCCGCGGGAAGAAACTGTCTCCGAATCTTCTTGTCCTTGCCAGGATGCTGCGGTAACGTCTGCCAGACGGCAACAGAAAGAACAGTTTGTGGCTGGGGTGATGGGGGTCTTTGATAATCCGTAGTGATTTCTTCCTGAGCCGCTGGGAGTAAAGGTCCTCCATGGATGGCAGCTCCGTCCTGGTGATGTGCTGTGCAGTTTTCACCACCCTCTGTAATATATACAGTGGTTTATGAGTATTAATAAGATATTTATGTTGAATGTGTGCAGTTTGAAAGGCAGGTTGGCTGCTGATGGTGCAGTGTTCATTTCCTCAACGAAAACTATGACGAAAGACTTAAGACGATGACGAGCTAAAAATAGATTCTTGATTATAAAAACTATGACGAAATGTATATTTAGTTTTCGTTGACGGCACAAAGGTGTTAATGGTGGACTATTGGACTTTCAAAATGCAGGGTATTTTCCCCCAAGTCTCCGTCTTGTCTGTCAAAATGCATCTTAGGTTTCTAACTTGCAATATCATTATTTCCGCTCTCTTAACTCCAGAAGAGCGATCTCCCTGTGTCGGGTCTGTGTGCGGGGGCGGGGCTTAACGCTCTCTCTCTCTCTCTCTCTCTCCTCTCTCTCTCTCTCTCTCTCCTCTCTCTCTCTCTCTCTCCTCTCTCTCTCTCTCTCTCTCTCTCTCTCTCTCTGTGTGCGGGGGGCGGGGCTTAACTCTCTCTCTCTGTGTGCAGGGGGCGGGGCCTAACTATACCTATCCCTAGATATTACACAAGTAAAGTGTTAAGAGAGTGAAATGTTGCTTTACGAATTTCAACACTTGATGCTGTCACCTTGATTCCAATTTCAGATTCCTGTGTTTGCCCAACTGAATTGGTTTAAAGAGAGAAAACATTTTGACTAAAAGTTGACTCAAATGTAATTTTTCATCGACTAAAACTATGAAGGATAAAAAGGACTCAAAAGTGACTAAATCTAATAACCATTTTCGTCTAAAGACTAAGACTAAATCAAAAATAGCTGCCAAAATGAACACTAATGGTGTCTGTTATTGCCAGTATTTTAATAATAAACTAGAAGCAGCAGCATTATCAGTTTGAAACTAGCCACCGTGACATTTAGCGTGTTAAAAACTACTCTGGGTGTGTTTTAAAGTCCTAAAAGTGGAGGTGTGTGGCGCAGTGGGTTGTGGGTATGTGTTCGGATCAGGGGGTCACAGGTTCAAACCCCACTGCAGTCAGCATGTCGTTGTGTCCCTGAGACACTTCACCCCAAATTGCTCCTGTGGGGATTGTCCACAGTATTGAGTATGTAAGTCGCTTTGGATAAAAGCGTCTAACAAGTGACATGTCATGTAATGTAATGTAATGTAATGTGACCTGGATGTTCTGCCGTCTCCAGGAGAGACCTGGAATCCCCTGAAGCTTCACTACCAGCTGAGGAACGTGCGGGAACGTCTGGCCAAAAACCTGGTGGAGAAAGGCGTCCTGACCACGGAGAAACAGAACTTCCTGCTGTTCGACATGACCACACACCCGCTCACCAACAACACCATCAAACAGGTAAACAAGTCCATTAAGCTTGAGATGTAATGCAATTAAATCGGCCTACGTTCATGTTGTTAGAGACTCTTGACTGAGAGGTAAACACTTTATGACTAGGCGTGTGGCGCAGTGGGTTGAGCGTTGGTGTTCGGAACAGGTTCAAACCCCACTGCAGTCAGCATGTCGTTGTGTCCCTGGGCAAGACACTTTGTGTGTGTGTGTGTCCGTGTGTGTCCGTGTGTGTCCGTGTCCGGAGTTGGCAAAACTAAAACTGCAGTATAATGTTTATGTAGCAATAATACGTGCAACATTTTTTAATTGTATTTCTCCAGTACCGATAAAAAGACCGATAACGTCAGAGCTTAACGGTACCACGGTCTTTCATAATTCCGCCCCCTGGCCCCTTTAATACCGGGGCTCGGTCCATCCCTAGTTATGACACAGCAGTTTTAATAAATGAATAAGAGTGGTAAAAGCAGAGGTCGTAGCGATGACAGTGCAACGAGTGCATATTGACACTTACAGTCTAAACACGTTAAATGTACAAAACTGTATACATGTAGTGTATTTCTAACTGTGTGTTCACAGAGGGTTTTAGTAACCAAAGGATGCAAGTAACATAGCCAAATAAATACTTCTAAATAGTAGTGGTTGCAGTCTTTGAGGGTGCAACCAGTCAGCTTTATGAGAGTGAGCAGTGTGTTTAATGTCTGCATGTTTGACCCGTACAGTCCCAGCGCTACTGTTGAAGTCTAACTGAGACTAAAGTGCATGTTTGATCAAGCTGCTGAGTTCGCTAACGTTAGCATATTAGTCGGTAGAGTGTAAGGGTAACATAATACACAGATATACACAACTTTTAGCAGTAACAGGGTAATATAACATGTTACTTATAGCAGTGGGGAAATGAAAAAAGGATATTAACTTTAAGTATTATACTTAAGTTCTATTTTGACATCCTTTTGACATTTAATGTTCGAATACTTTTAGTCCACTGCATTTCAGAGGCAACACACTTGAGGCTTTCTCCTTGATTTCTATTTGGTTGTGTTTTAAAATGTTTTTACATCATGTTTGAGGGTTTTCAGTCTGTGGCTATAAGTATGGTTTCATTGTCTGGTGCTTTTACATTAGTTTCTTTTTGTCCTATCGGTTTTGTCTAAATGTAATTATGCTGCTTTTTTATATATTTATTGATGTTCAGCACTTTGATCAAATCTGTTCAAAATAAATGTGCTATATAAATAAAATTGGATTGTTTCACCCAGCTGAACGCACAGCAGCTGAACCCAGGGTCCTCGCGGGGTCTTAAAAGGTCTTACATTTGATAATCAGAATGTAAGGCCTTAAAAAGTCTTAAATATGATTTTTTTTTTTAAATAAGAAAGGTCTTAAATATGATTTAGAAGTTCTTAAAAATGATGGGATTTGAAAGGTACTTCTGTGTTGCGATCGCGTCTAAATGTGTTTTGGGGGAAATGTCCGGGCTGGCCCCTTATCGGAGAACACCCAGCTAGTAACCTAGCAACCAGCTAGTAACCTAGCAACCAAGCTTCAGCTAGCGGCAGTCAGACACTCAGGTATCTTCGAATCTACTTACAAATAAATATGAGGAAGTGTAAGTTCAACCGTATTTGGTTGGAAAACATCGAATTTAGTGCTTGGTTGAAACCAGTGGAGGGGAACGTGTTTGAAGCCTGCTGCACCTTTTGCAAAAAAACGGTTGAAGTTGGAACATTTGGGGTAAAGACTTTACAATCTCACGGTCAGTTAAGTGGTCTTAAAAAGGTCTTACAAAGGTCTTACGTTTGAGTTGGTGAAACCTGCAGGAACCCTGGATCCATGTGATGCACACTGTGACGCTCATGTTGATGTTCTTTCCCCCCCGCAGCGCCTCGTCAAGAAGGTCCAGGAGTCGGTTCTGGAGAAGTGGGTGAACGACCCCCATCGTATGGACAAGAGGGTCCTCTCTCTGATCCTCCTCGCCCACTCCTCAGACGTCCTGGAGAACGCCTTCGCCCCCCTGCAGGACGAGCAGTACGACCTGGGCATGAAGAGAGTCCACACCCTGCTGGAGCTGGAGCCCGAGAAGGAGAGCGCCAAACCCAACGTCAACGAACTCATGTGGGCCGTGGTGGCCGCCTTCACTAAATGAAAACGTGTGTGTTATTTAATCATCTGAAGGACTTCGGCTTTAATGAGACGGACTTCACTTTAATGAGACAATCTGTTTTGGGTTTTGGGGGGGGGGGGAGCCAGTGTTTGTACATCTTATTCCCAGGATGGCGTTTCGGTGGCAGTCCGTATTAAAAACCCAATCTGATCGGTGGTGGTGGGCTTCACCGAGTAAGGGAGGATTTCTAAATGATAAAACGACTGCTTTCACACAGTGCGAGACTGGACTCACACACCAGCAAAGGTTAGATAACAGTCGTGGTGAGAAAGAAGACCAGGTTCGACACTAAGGAAACATCTCCACATTACTACAAGGATCGGACCACATCCCGGTCCACTGCAAAGAGGTCTGCTCCGCATGCTCTTTGCACTCCATCCTTTCATTCCCACGTGTGTTGGGAGTTAGCAAACCAGAATGTTCTTCTCATTAAAATCCCTTTTTTTTCTCCTCGGTTCCTCCTCAGAGCGTTTTGAGGAGGAAGCGCAGGACATCCTCGTAGACCTAAATGAAGAAAAAGTCTTTATTAGTTGCAATGGGTCCATCCTGTGTTTATTACAGAATGAGACCAGTCTTCCATTTGTATTTATGTTGCTTGGAGTAGTCCGCCATTTATCCACTATTTTTGCACAGCAGCCCTGCAGGTAGGATCGTATTTATAAGGGGATTTTCTTGGGTCGAGCAGAAGAGATTTAAATAATCATGAACCTTAGCAAACATGGTCAAAACAAATCTCACTTATTTTGTCTACAGCTATAAAGAGTACTTACAAATCATTCCACATATAGAAAGCTTCTGTTGTTATTTTTATTGTTACGTGTTGACAAGATTGACAGTGAGTGTGAAAGGGTCGACTCACCCAAATTACTATATATTTTTTTTTTAAACAAATGCTCTCAGTTATACGGAAGACGTTTAAGGCCACGTACGTTTTGAGATTTTCAGAAAGAAATGGACATGTTTTTCTCCAATTTCTGAGTTTAAATTTGAAATTCAGATTTTCTTTCTCTGCAAATTCTGATTTTTTTTTATCGATTTTCGCAGTTTTAAGATAGAAAACTGGCTTTTTTTCTAAGTGGCTCTAATCCTCTTCTGTACAACAAGGGTTTTCATTTGAGTTACTTTCATCTGAATACAAAGGGGGTAAATGGAATTTCTTTAAAAGATGCACAGGAAGACTCCACCAACTTCTATCTCGCCCTGCCCTGCTCCATTACCCACTGTGAAGTCCTCGGGCAATTTCCAGTTCACATCAGGATTATCCTTCTGATGGTTAAAGTGGTCAAGCATCATCTCCGGGACAGTTGTCGACACTTTCTCCCTTGAGTTGTCATTCCAGATGAGCTCAGGGTTCTCTGAAGCTACGTCTCTTCCAAGAGTTTCCTGCTAATCCAAAATCTTTACTGTAAACTGTTTTTCCTGGAAATATTTTGCACTAAAGATAACGTCCGTGTTGAACCTCCCTCTGGGAATTCACTGGACACCAACAGGGGGAAGTGAGGCGATGCATTTTGTAAATTTGGGTAAACCGACCCGTCTTTCAAAGTTTCCCTCTTGCAATATGTTGTTCCTTTCAGTTTACATGTCAAAATTAGATCTTATATTGTTTCATACATGCAGACAAAAGGAGGGTAACTTTGGCGCCTGAATACTCCTTCAAAACTAAAAAAAACCTATTAGATTAAAAACATACTGTTGTGTAGATGTGGGTAAACATCTATTTCGATATAAAATCCTCCATCGGGTCTGATGAGTGCGATCTTTGTATGATCCCCTTTTTGTTTTATGGCATACTTATTTTTCTGTTTTACTTTTGGGTTTTTTTACTACCAACAAAATACCAGTAGGTGTGAGCAGCTGATTTTGAGCAGAGAGGATGCATGCTGTTGGTGGAGGTGGAGGGTACGTGTGGATGTAGCCACAGACGAAAGGCTTGTATGTAATTATTAGTCATTTTATGTGTACGGTTTAATGAAACTCAATGAAAGGGATCGTCTCTCCTATCTCTATAATTCTGTATGCTTTTGTATTACCACACAAAATAAAGTAAGGATCCTTTAAGTGCCTGAATTTAGCACCGTGCTACTGTGGTCATTTTTATTCCATACATATATTATTTATATTAAAATGCTAACAAATAGAAAACTCATGGAGACATAGAGAAGCAAAAACAAACATATTATAGGGATCTCATTGGCTAGCTAGCCGGCTCTGTTGTGATTGGTCAATCGCTTAGAGATGTCCCGCCCCTTAGCCTTCCAAAGTGATGTCACTGTTTTCCTGAAGTAAACAGCGGAGTCCAAGCTGTTGTCTATGTGTTGCCTAGCAACAGTGGTGGGTGTAACGCGTTACAAAAGTAACGGCGTTACAGTAATGTATTACTTTTTGCTGTAACGAAGTAATGTAACGCATTACTAATGAAATGTGGGTAATATACTACCCGTTACAACTCATTTTAACCCGAAATGAAATGGTGTTTTGTTTTTTAAGAATTCACTAACATCGCGAGCAGTGGCGGCGCCAGAGCATTTTTGTTGGGTAATCTATGGTAGGGCTAACCCATACAGTGGTGGGGCTCAAGTCAGTATTTGCAATGTAATTACATACACGCTATATCGCCCCCCTTGACAGTGAAACGCCACGCGTGAGGTTTAGATTATTTCCCTGTCTCAATCAAAATGGAACTGTATGAAATAAAACGGCACATTTGTCTTGTAGTAAATAAAAAGGGATCACTGTGAACGTGACGTATGATAGTACACGTTGAAGATCCAATGGGGATACTGAATGGCGGTTTCGATTGATCTCAATCAATAAGGCATGACGCAGACCCAACGTTTCGTTGCTCTGATTGGCTGTAGGTCTATTCAAATTGCATTTGGAGGCATTTTGATCTGACCGCGGCCGCGCTGATATTATAACGCCAGAGAATTTCCACACCTTTAGTGTATAAAACTCCCCCACTACTTAGACTATTCCTTGCACCCCTCTTATAGCATAAACCCGAATGGTCTCAACCATATTGCATCAGTAACGTGCACTTGTTGTTACAGCAGGATCAGTTTGTGTGCTGTGGACACGACCCGTATATTTTCGCAATCCGTGTTCTCAACATTTAGCATTTCGCTTATTATTTAATTGAATTTGCATCACTTTTCATGGTGGGGCTAAGGTGAGGCTAAGCCATTTCTTGGTATGGCTGTAGCCTACCCCAGCCATACCCTGGCGCCGCCACTGATCGCGAGACATTCCGACACCTGAGAAAAATTGTGCGGGTAGATTAGTAAACCTGGTGTTTACGTAATCAGTCAGGCTGATCTTGATGAGCCTGAAGGGTGTTCTTTTCCCCATAATGACCAAGTCGCTGCACATTATCCCGCTTATTACACGGCCAGATACTAAACAAAGGAATCGACTCCCAATATTAATTAAAATGATTTTATTGACTTAAAATTATCGTATTTCTTCCACTAAGAAAAAAACAAAAAACTTTACGGCAGCACTGTCCAACTCTGTTTGTCACTACCCGATCCGCATCCCTGCCCGATCTGTACTGCGCATGTGCGAGATGGTCCGCCATATTTGAGAACTACATACGGCAACTCAAATAGGACACTTGACACAGTGGCGTTTGGCTAAGCAGAAAAAGAAAACTAAAAAAACCCGACAATATTAATCTGAACGAGAGAGATGAGTTATTGTTATTACAACGTGACTTCACTATTATTAAACAACTCCTTTTATTGGGTCCTTTTATTGGGTTAAGTACATTGTCAGAATAAGTGAGAAATGGATTTAACTTCTGTTAGACAGCTATCATACTGAAGAAATATTGACTGTGTGAAATGTATGCAAAAATGTATGGCATTAATAATTTATATCTAATTACATTAACTGTGAATGTCCTTCATTTTATATCAAATAAAATAACAAAAGATTTTTGTATAGATATTTGAGACGTTTATGACTCGCGCATGCACGATGCAAATCGGGCAGCCGTCTAGACGTCAAATGTCCTAATTGAGTTGCCGTATGGAGTTGTCCAATATGGCGGACCATCTCGCACATGCGCAGTGCGGATCGGGTAGGGATGCGGATCGGGTAGTGACACTGCTCACAGTTTCTGATCCACTAACAAGTCCTTAAACGGTTATGGCCCGTCCACACGGCGGCGTGCGTTGAAGCTTCAACGCTTCTGCCCATTCACTTTGAATGGGGTGACGTCACGCTTTGCCAAACTGCATTGTGGTTGCGTCGCTTCGCTTTGCTTGCGTTGCTCGCTTCAAAAGTTGAGCAATGTTCAACTTTTGAAGCTTCGACGGAAGCGTCAGCCAATCAAATCATCAAACCGCGTGCTTGTGTGTCCGGGGCGGGAGATTCATGTCATTGGTTGTTGGTCGAGTTTCAGACACGCCCACCGGCAAGCTTCAACGCACGCCGCCGTGTGGGCGGTGCGTTAGTGCTAGATCGTATACCTCCTGGGTTTTAGGCGGCGGAAGTGACGTAATCGTGGATGACAAGTCAGCAACTTTTGCAGCAACTGACAGCACATCTGGTAAAAGTAGACACATTTAATTTAATTTTGCATGGGCTCTTCGCGACTCTGGAGTCCTGCAGGAATCCGGAGGACAGTGAATAGGAGTGAGAGGGAGGGAGCACACTCATAAGAAATCTCCCCCCCTTTTTTTAAATAAACCTCGTACTGTGTGTGTCACTGTAATCCGAAATCAAATGCACATCAAAATATGATATTTTTGTGGAAAGATGATGTATTCATGCTCGTCTCTTGTCTTGGGTGGCAGGTTACGTCACTTCCGCCTAAAACCCAGGAGGTATACGATCTAGCACTAACCGTCCATAAACACTGCAGAGCCCGTTCCTGTAAGTGTTTACTTCTTGTCTGTCTTCTTCTGTTTATTTATCTGACGTCCAGTGCTCCATCTTTTACCCTCTTTTACTTTCTCTTTCTTGATCCTCCTTAGCAACGGAATTGACCAATCAGAATCAAGTATTCAACTAAGCCTTGTAATAAAAGTTGTTAGTAGCCTTAAGGGCCTACACAGTTGCTGCACTAAACTACATTTTAGCATTTAAAATACCTAGCCATTATTTTGCGGTTATTTTGGTGAAAGTAACTCAAAAGTAATATAAAAGTAGTGTAACTCATTACATTTCAGGGACAGTCATATTGTAATGTAACTTATTACTTAAAAAAGACAGTAATATGTAATGTATTACATTTTGGAAGTAACTTGCCCAACACTGCCTAGCAACCACAAACACGACCGGACATTCCATTTGTGCCTTTGATGGCTATGACATCATCGCATTCCGTCACATGTTGGCTTTCATCTCATTTCCTATAAACAGCTGGGCTGACGGACTCATTTCATTACCGATCCCAATCCTTACGTGACAGGAAGCAGGACCTTAGCTCTCAGCGCGCCATTTTATTTATCATATTGGACACTCGGTGTTTAATAGAGACAACTTACTTTGTGCAAAATATATTAGTTTTAAAAGTAAAGAAATGGCTGCTATAGAAAGAGAAAGAGTGATGGCTGGAGATGAGAGTAGAGAAACGGCTAGACAACGCAAGAACGCCTGTGAGATAGGGAGATTAAACAGGGAGTTAGAGACTTGTGATAAAGTCATAAAATACTCCAATACACTTTATGTGAAATATAATGGAGACCTAAAGTCCCTTGATGTCGAGAAACTCGGTAAAGAAATGGAGGATATCCCTGAATCGAATGAGATCCTCATAGAGGACGAGACAGTCAGTCAGTCCCTCCAAAAAGACATTACCGGTGTGATGGAAATAGCTCAGAAAAGGGAGGATAGGGCTGAAAACAAGCAAGATGACGACATGATGGAGAATGAGAGATTCACTGAACTGCAGAGAAAATATGACGCCCTTCAGAAAACCAGTGAAATACACAAGGAGAAGAACCATTGTCTGCAGATAGACTTCAACACTTTCACGGCAAAGTGCAAATTACTGAATCGTAAATTTGACATAATTCAGGAAGACAAAGACAATCTGGAGACTCAGCACAACGGACTGACGGAGAACTTTAACGCAGTGCAGCACGTGAGCAGAGTTCTCCAAGTGCAGAGAAATAGGCTAATTGAAGACAACAGAACCCTAATGGGGAATCAAGCCCCACTACTGGCGCAGAACACACAACTAGAGGAGGAAAAAGGTGTCTTACTGAGAAATGAAACCATTTACAAAGATGACATTGTTGTCTATGGGAGAAATCAAAACGTTCTGCAGGTAAACCTCGATAGGCACAAGCAGAATGTAAAAAGACTGGAGATGTATTCCTCTGTGTTTTCTCTGCAGAACGATCAATTGTTGGATAACGTTAAAACCCTCCAGGCTCAGAACACTTTTCTCCTGGAGAACAGGACATTATTACCAAATAATAGCCATGGACTCCAGACCCAGAATGATGGACCTCAGGAGAACGTCAGAACCCCCTTTAGCAACACACCACATGATGTTCTCCAGGGTTACAATAACATGCATCAGAAGTATGACGACATGATCAGGGAGAACATTAAAATCCATAAGAACCAACGAGAGATGCATCTGGCAAATAACGTTGTACTGCAGGAGAACATTACAAAATACCGGGCAGAAATCACTGGACAACAAGAAAACATAAAAGTTCTCCAGACGCAGAAGAATGGACTGCAAGAGGACATTAAAACAGTCTGGGAGCAGATCAATGGACTCGATGAGAACGTTGGAACCTTCCGGGTGCAGAACAGTGGTCTCCAAGAGGACAATGAAACCCTTCGGGTTCAGAACAATGGACTCCAAGAGATCGTTAGAACATTCCAGGGGCAGAACGATGGTCTACAAGAGAGCATTTTAAGGCTTCGGGCAGAGAACTATGAACTCAAGGAGAACGTTCAAATCTCTAAGAAAGTTGAAGGGGTTCTCCAGACAGAGAACGATGGACTCAAGGAGAATAAAGTCACTCTTCGGGAGCAGAGCAATAGGTACGAGGAGAACATTAAAACAGTCCACGTACAGAACGATAGACTCGAAGAGAACGCTCAAACAGTCCAAGTGAACGTTGAAACACTTCAGGAGAAGAACAACGGACTCCAGGTTAGAGTACAAACAGTCGAGACGCAGAACAATGCACTCAATGAGACATTTAGAATCAACGCTAACGAACGTCCCGTGCATGCTAACGACATTCCCACTGAGGCTTCCGGCACACAGAAGAAGCCTAAATTCTGGAAAAATGTCAAGGGGTTCTTTGAGAGGAAAGACCGGTTCCCAATTGTCCCGGCGCATCATGTGTCAAACGATCAGCCGGAGAACATTGAGGAACAGCCCGGATGTTCTTCATGGATTCAGGCCTTCCACTTGAAATGGGCGCAAATACCCTTTCTTTGTGGGATGAAAAAACGTAATTAATTTGTTATGTATGGTTATCGCCGGGTACTCCGGGTTCTTCCAGTTTTAATAACCTTTCTTAAATTGGTTTAGAAAAACAAAAATGTATTTCTCGATTTGTTATCTAATCTTGGTTTTGTCATGTTATCTCCGGGCGCTCCGGGTTCCTCCAGCTTTAAAGGTCTCTTATTATACTATTTTTAGGCATATATGTGACTTGCTCCATCGAAATCAGTAACATTTGCTCCCGTTTAGCATTATGGGCGTCATAGCCATAGACTATAAAAGTCTTACCCAAGGCTGAATCATAAACTAAACTGTATATGTTTATATAACTTACGTCCTTAGCTGGCTAATAAGCTATATAACAAGCTAAGCTAACAAGCACACAATGGGGTTAACATGTATAATATTATCATTTTAGACTTCTTGGAAGGTCTGTTAGTACATTCAACCGCACAGCACGACATTTTAATTGTCTGGTATTTGTAACAATATTCCCTAAAAGGCACAATCACCACGAACACGGCTACAGGGTCAAGTACAGTAACTACAACTAGCTAATGTTGTAGCCTAGCAGAGTGGACAAGTTGCTGTTAGCTGACAGTGAGGCACGTACCTGTCCATCAAAGTGACCACGCCCTAATTTATGCAAAAACTTTAAGACCTAATATAAATAAAAGGGTCGCATTATAAAACAATTCACTCAACAATTAATAATCATTAAGATGGAATCTAACTATATCCCGAATAATTTGTATTGCATCCAGGGGTAGAAACATGTTTATTTCTGCTGTAAAGTTGGGCATTTTAACATGGGGGTCTATGGAAATTGATCCTTTCTGCAGTCATCGCCTATCGGCCAATAGATGAAATGCAATTTGTGGCACTTCCTTATTGGCCTCCCGGCTCTGCCCCAGAGTTTGCCGCTTGGTGTGTACGTGTGTGTGTGTTTGGGTATTTTTGTGTTTGTGTGTATTGTGTTTGTTTCCCGGGGAAAACACTCACAAGAAACACCGCCTGCTGTGACGTTAAGTTACTCCGTTCTCCGCTTGTAATTATGCCGTTACAAGCTTCAAAGTTGTATTTATCATCTGAATTTGCTGAAACAAGTTTAATATTCAGAAAGCCAAGACTTTGTTTATTTGAAATCTGATGGTAACAAACTGTAACGGACCCTGCCGTGTTATCTATGATTACTATACGCCTTACATTCATAATGTCAGCCGGAGGAGAAGAGTCCGAGTGAGAGCTGTCATCTTCCCTTTACAAGCTTCAAACATGTATTTATCGTGTGATTTTGGAAATAAATCTTCTGAAAGCCAAGACTTTGTTTATTTAAAATCAAATAAAACACCCGAAAAACTAAAATATCATAAGAGATGCGTCATGGCTATGTCATCAGAGGGCGACAGAAGAAGAAGACGAAGGAGAATGCACCGTGGACGTCAGCCAATGGAAGAAGACTAAATACGAGGGGGAATCTATAAACACGATGTTAGTCAGAGAAACGGTTTCGACAGATAACTGCTTTATGTGGACTGTGGGTCAGTGAATTGGATAATGAACCACAGCTGTATTTTTTTTTGTAAACC